GCATATGTCCTGACAAAACTGACTTTGCTCACAGTTTTGCCCAGTCAGTGTGGCTGTGCTGCTACTTACTGCAGATTGAATCGGCTTCATCTGAACCGTCTGCGCACTCTACTTCTCCGTCACAGCGCCACCTAGCAGGAAGACACTGTCCATTCTTACAGGTGAAATCTGTGGCTGCGCACGTCTTCTTCGCTGTGTAGAGAAGAGAAACATTCAACATTATCATATGGCCTCAAGAAAGCATTGTGTCTGCTGATACTCTGATAGTCATCACCACAGTGAATGATTGAACCATCCATTTTCTTAACTGCTTATCCAATTCAGGGTTGCAGGCAAGAGACAGGGTACACTCTGGACAGGTTACCAGTATAACACAGGGCTAAGAGGGAGACAACCATTCATACCTACAGCAAAGTCTGAATAAGCAGTTAACCAAACAATCAAGTCTTTGGACTGTGGGAGGAAGACCGAATATCTGCAGAGAACAAACTCTACACAGAAAGCCCCAGTCACCCGGCAGATCCGATACCACTATTAGACAATATAATTGATATTTACTTGGACATAGTCTCTTAAGCACAGCAAACAATATCTGATTAAAGCTAAAAAAAGGGGGGAAAAAAACAATACTTTAGGAAAGATGTGATGTAGAAGTACGCACCAAGAAAACATGTCAAATGTTTTCACTTAACAAGTCAACAAGGTAATTAAAATTGAACTTTAGTTGAGAGCAATTCTGAGCACCAACTTGAAACCAATTTTCCAGTCCAATTTTAATTTAACCTACAGCAGGCAATGTTTCTACTTAGGCAGTCAGAGCATCAAAGGTGATACAAGTGCAACTTGTATCAGAACACGAGAGGGAATGAGGGTCGTTTGATTAGGTACCCTTTGTTTGTGCGTCTTCTTTGAGGCAGACTTAGTGGGTCAGGAAAATGAGTCTGGTGATCCAATGTGAGATGGGTTTTATTTCTTTCAAATTCAAATAAATAACAGTGTTTCAGGTTGAATGAATGAGAAAAGCACCGGCAGCTTAACCAGGCCTCTTTCTGTAAGGATGTGTTGGATATACTACATGTGCTGTGGGGGTCAGAGGTTTTTCTCCATTTTTAACCACCGCATGATCCACCTTCCAGGCTAACGCTGGCTCTGTGTAGCAGTGATAGCTTACGGAGTCCAAAGGTTTTGTGCAGTCACTTTCTCCAAGCAAATGGAAAATTGAAGCACTTGGGTCTGTCACGGGAAAAGGTAAAAAAATAAATAAAAAATCTCTCCCTGACAGTGAGAGCCAGTGAACAAGAGAAAGCACTCGCCTGGCATGTTAGCGATGCCTTGGCTCACCATGATGAAATATATTGGGGGAAGGAGGTGGAGGGGGTTGACAAATGGCAAGAAAGTGTGCGAGTGTGAACAGCACTGTGCGTTTGGTGGTGTGTAGGTCAGCGTGATTTTATTCTGACAAGTGCATTTTTTTCATATGCACCACATACCTGATCTGCTGGGAACACAGGTTAGATATGAATACTGTGTGGACATACAGTAGTCTAACTGAATCCTAGCTGACTAAAGAAAACTAGCAAAAGTTTAAAAAGAAAATGGGGGGTTAAATGCGGTAGAGCAAGAAACAAACACCAATAGCTTAGTTTAACCTTAATGGAACGAGATAAAAAGCAAATCAGGATTTTGTCAAAATTGTGAACACAACTGAGACCACAATTTAGTTGTTTGGACACCATATTATTAGGAGTGTGTGTGTGTGTGTAGTCTATGGTATCAACGAAAGCAGAGTAACAACTGAAAGCCCAAAGGAAAGCTATAATAAAGAAGCACACACTATGGAAAAAAGCATTAGTGGGGACTAATGCATTCTAAATGTGTACGTACAATTACTTAAATGACATGATAATGTATGGCAAATTGAAGAAAAGTCAGACACAACCATTTGCTCGCACGCTCACCTGTACAGCATTCATACCAAGTATAGAAAAAAGGGAGTTTAGGGACATGTTGTGCAATAGATTGAAGAAGGTGTAGGCATAGAATAAATGAAAAAGAGCATATCTCTTGGGATTCCAGACTAGTCAGAGCCAGAGACAAAAGTAAATAGAAAGAGAAAGAGAAGAGAGGAGAGACTATAGGGGCAGAGAAAGAAAAGACAAGAGGGATACAGCCTGTTGAGGTGGGGTCTTGTGCAATGGCATTACTCTTCACAACAGACCACATAAATCCTTTTCCTTCCAACCAGCATGTTAACATAAATACCACCTCTTCCACTTTACCCTCCTTGTTTTTGTCTTTCCCTCCATCTCCACCTACAGCCTGATAAAACACCGGCCACAGTGTACACACCAGAATATTCCTTCACCTTCACAATACATCTGTGCTCATAGCACAACACAGTCATTTTCAGCATAAGACTGCCTAATTCGGATAAAGATAAATATTGGTTCAGGTGAAAGACTTACAAGCAGGAGTTAAAGTGGGATTTGACAGATGATGAAACCGTAGTACCCTAGGATTGGATGTAGCAGCGCAGCACAGAAAAAATAATAACTTATAAGTAAATTAGTTTTCATTAGGCTGCGATACTACTCAGATATTCATTGATCTTTGGGTTTAGCAGACTGAATTCATCAAGATATGAGTAGATGTTTCACAAGCTGTATCCCCATGTCCTGATCCACACAAGAAGCTAGTAGAAAAGGTAGAATTCAACGAGTGAGCTTCATCACTTTAAACTGATGCCGTGATGCAACTTCAAACTGACCATGAACGCCGTGTCTGCTCTGAACCAACATAGTTGATCATTAGAAGTTTAAACTAACCAGTTTAGCTAGCACCAACTCTACCAAACTGACAGTTTGTTTCATGCAAGCTTGAATAAGACAAAATTAGTATTAATGTACTTTAATTTTAGCTTTGTAGGTTTTCACATGAACATTACGCTATTTCAGATCGACAAAACAACCCTTGTTTACAACATATAATACAAGAGTTTTTGTAAAACTTAAGTATCAGTTAACTAATTTTCTTCTTATCTTAAGTATGAAAATGAAAATATAATTTCCCTGATGCCTTCCTTCTTGTTTTGCTGGGCAGAAATCATTTTCAATGATAGCACTCTTACACATCCCGGTTTACACTGGATACAGGGTTTTTTTTTTTAACCCCCCCCACAAAGAAATGTGTTTTTTATAGAATACTGGACATTTTAATTGTTCTGGGGGAAGAAAGTCAGCAACTAATCTTCAGAAAGGGGTTGTGAAAACATAGAAACTTCAATAAAATATATCGTAACTAGACAATACCATTCATCTTGACATTTAAGGTTCTAAATAAAATTTCACACGCACAGGTCTACGGCAGAACAGTCAGAAAACTGTAACAAAATAAAAATTCAAATTAAAAACTCAGTTTTCAGCAACAGGCTCAAAAACTGACACTAAGAATAAAAAAATACCACTACACATCAAAAAGACTTTTGAATTTCACTTCTTCCATTACACACAGTAGAACTCCTTTAGTTAATGACTATGGAAGGAGCTTAATAGCTGTAAAAGCATGCATATATTATTTTAGAACCAACTAGGAAAACATCTACACATCATCCTAAGAGTTGCTGATACACACACAAACTGCTGCTTACATTTACATTCTGATGCGCCAAGACCTGTCATATACAGATGCCATCCATATGGAACAGCCTAAACCTGCCTTATGATAAGGTTATTTTGAGAGAGTGAATAATGTGCAGTGGAAAACTACTACAGACATATTATGCAAATATACCCATGCATACCTACCAACAAACCCTCATCCTAGATGTCAAAAATCTGATTTTAGTTTACTGTCAAAAACAAAAACACACCAATAACTCACACATAATAGGATTTAATTAAAAAACTATAAATACATCAAGGATGTTCTATGTTGTATCAACATACTGCTTTTGGGAACAACTTTTTAATCCTCTGAGATCCCCCAAAAATGTATGGTGTGAAGTAAAAACCTATTAACATTGAACGGTCACACTTGAATGATCAGTATTAGGAGGCCTTACATTAATACTGTTAGAGCCCAACCAATACAGGATTTTGAAATTGTTGAGCAGTAAAGACTCCAACAACCCCTTCCCTTGTTATTTTGGTTCCCACATTTAAGAGAGCAATGGTGAATGAATGTGCAATTTCCACACTGAAGTAAGGCGGTTAGGGCAGTGATCTTATAAAGAAACTAGAGTTTCTTCATAATGACAGTAGACTAGTAAATGAATGCCAATTAATTGAGACATATTTCAGAAAACACATGTATGTTTCTTAAGACCTCTCATTTCCTTTTTTTGTGGAGAAAAAGAAAAAAGGTGTTTCTGATTTTACTGGGCTGGCCTCATCCACATTTAACCTGGGTACATGTGTCCCATAACTTAAATTACTTGGACGCCCCAATGTACATGGTACCAGAAAAACTGCTCAAGGATTCAGCTACTGCACAAGCTATGGCATTCAACTAACGGCACACTCTGGAGACCTCCATGATCAATGAGTGACTAAGCTGCCCTATCGACATTCATACAGTCTACATTCTGTCCATACAAAGCACATACAACGGATTCCTCTCCATATACTCCTGACAACATGGTTTGAGACACTATAGTTTGCCCTGAGAAAAGGTAAAGGTCAGCTCCTGCCTTGAAGTAATTCAAATAACAGACTCCATTACACACACACAAACACAAAGAGGGACAGCAGAATGTAAATTAAACATCCAGCAGCTACAACAGAGGCATAGCTGTGTCACCTCTAATAAGGACCTGTTGACTCCATCCCTGAAATGTTGATTTGCAATGGCAACAATGGCATGAAACAGACAACAGCGCTGTGGTGAGATAACTTTCCATCCTTTAATTAGAGGTAGTGACAGTTTTGAATCGGGTTTTAAGCACCCTGAATAAACTAGCTTTGGACTTCTACACTGCTTTGCTATTCGGTAGTCCTTAAAGTTAAAGCTTCAGTCTTTAAAAATGTGAAGCAATTTTCACGTTACTATTTTTTTATTGCTATAAATGAAGCTTTTTTTTTCTTTTTTTTTAAATTCTCCCTCATGAACACGTGCTCATGATTAGAAAGATACCAATGTCATGATAGCAGAAATTTGTAGTTGGCAACAATATCAGTAGAATTTTTTATTATCAT